CCTTTGAGCCCAGTGTGCTCTTATTGGTCAGCTCGCCCACTCTGTTCTGATGGTCTACCACCGTTACAGCGGAACATCAGTGATTATGTGTTACAATGGCGTTAGCAACCAGAAAAATGACACCAGTAAGGACAAACAGATGAGAATGCTGCGTGGGGTCTGGGTGCCGTGTTGGCGGGACGTTGCGTGGCTCGCTGCTGCGAGGAGCGGACAGTGTGAGCTGGGTTCATTTCCTGCTTGCTGCGTGGGGTCTGCGAGACAGCGGGACATCGCGAATGGACGCGGGAAGGGGGGGGGGTGCTAAGGGGGCTGCAGCACTCCCATATGCGAGGCTCCACTAGCACCCGCACCCCCAAACACGGAGCACCTACAGTGTAAGCGCGCCACAGTTTTGCCGCTGCGAGGCTCCACTAGCCCACCTGCCCCCAGCGCGTCACAGTTTCGCCGCTGTGAGAGTGTGTGTGTGTGAGGAGCTCCACGGATTGGTCCATTTGGACCAATGGGTCCATTTGGGTATGGGCACGTCACTGTACCCAGGAAGAAACAAATGGAAAAAGAGAAATCTCCAACGAGGCGTTCTGGGGCAGCATAGAGGTATTTTCTGTGTGGCTACACGGTGTAGTTTGAGGGTTTGTGACTCTGCAGACCGTTTACATGCATAAAAACCTTCATAACACACAAGGGGACGGGTAATAACCGGCAAAGCATGACATGGGACCTTTAAAGGAAACGCTGTGTAGTATTTTAGTAATTTCCGAATGACTTTTAATACAAATAATGATTGTTATTTGCCTTCGTGAAACCTGACTGCATGCCACATAAAACTTTCGGTTAGCCTTTTCCCCTCATATCGTGTTTGCAAATTGCATGTGCCTGGTGCATGTTTGTGTTTGTGTGAAGCAAAGCATGTGCCCCTTACAGTAAATGAGACAACAAAGATAGTTTTCCCCACAAAGAAATAAACATGATTAAAAAAGAAAGGTGCGGGAAAGACACAGAAAATGATTGGATAACTCCTTTCGTTGTGATTATCAGAAAACAACATTTTTAACAGCTGACAAAATAAGACAATTGAGAATAAAGGAAATGCTGATCATTTCTCAACATTTTTGGAAAGTGTGTGCTATGCAGTATTTGAGTCATTTCTAAATGATCAGCAGCATTGCAATGAGTGTGCGTGGTGCATGTGTGTTTGTGTGAAGCAAAGCATGTGCCCCTTACAGTAAATGAGACAACAAAGATAGTTTTCCCCACAAAGAAATAAATATGATTTTTTTTTAAAAAGGTGTGGGAAAGACACAGACACTGATTGGATGACTCCTTTCTCTGAGATTATCAAACAACAAAAGTGTTCTTTACTTATATCTTTGTCTGCTTTGGTAGGGATTCAACATTTGTATTCAAAGTGGGCCTTTGGAGTGCTGTCCCGGTTTTGTAAACATGTTTTGGGGATGAGAAACAGCCCTGCATCTACCCATGAGAGGCTCTTGGTCATGACAATGCGAGATACAAACATTAATGGTGTCCTCTTTGATGTAAGCTAAAGCTCAGGAGAGCCTCTTGTCCATGAGTAGACACGCGCATCCTTCTGCACAGAGCTAGGGTAGAGCATTTGTTTTCCTACATTACACAACTCAATAAAAGGTCAGTCAATTATCTTGACTAAACACGTAAAGATTCGAGATCAAGAAAATCTGAATTTTTTTATATTGTCCTAATGATAAGATAAAACAATGATTTGCTCCATTGACCATGAATTGAATTACGTTGTAACATCATATACAAAACAATGAAAGATCTGACACTGTTACTTTTTGTTCTGTGAACTCTTTTAAAGCGTCATTATCTAATTTCCATGGAGTTGAATATGAGCAGCTCCTTCCTTTTGGCCTTATGCACAAAATATTTGATCTAGGCTCCTTGGATCCTCCCTACCATCTTCATAACACACCTGACGCCCACTGGGGAGAAGAAAAGCTATTATAGCTATTATAACCTCACCTCATCACAACTGTGTCACCTTAACTGGAACCGTTTGAACACTGAACTGTGGATAAATTCATGTTATAACAGTACGGTAAATGTAGCTCTAGTAAAATGTAATATATTAAATTAGTTATCCAAATGCATGTTGTATGTGGTTACATGATCCAGCTTGTTTCTGCTGGTTTGATTTGTTTGCAAGTGTTGTGGTGAAAGAAACTATTGATTTCAGTTGATTGAAAGATGAAGTATCTATGTCATGTGCTTCAGTTGCAAATGCTTTAACTTATCGACACCTGCAAACACACTGTATTGATTTTTTTCAGTTAACAAAGTGTGGTTCTTAGATTTGAGTTGACAAATTGATGACTAAATTATGAATAACTTATAGAGAGGTGTCATCTATCACAAGATATCATGGATCTACCCCGGTAGATAATGTATTGTTTGAATGAAACCTTAAACAGGCCATGAAACTTCCTGAAAAATAGGTCACTAATATCAAGTTATGTTTTTGTTTAATAATTCATATTTCTTAGCTGGGAGGTCAGGGTAGTTTTCATTGATTGTTGACTACAATCAGGAATCAATTTGCACTATTTGTGCTTTTTAGAGACACAGTTCTTAAAACAAAGGACCTGCAAGACAGTTTTTCCTCTACATCCTCACCTAACAAAGATCAGCGGTCCTCTCCGGCTCTGATAGGCCACCGAACAGCCCCGTGGGGAGGAGTTACAGCCTTTGGGCTTTTTGGTATTTGCTCAAACAATAAAGTACCTGTCGTTTCATCTGAGAAGGGGAGGGAGGTCAAATTTAAGCCAGAGCTTCGTCCCTAAAGTCATTTTGAGAAACAGCATCACACATCTCGCCTCAAGGCAGTGGCTCAGCAGAAACAAAGTCATGGAAACGCCAAAATTAAAAATGCTGAAACTTTTGCTTTTATTGACCTTCACAGAGGTAAGAAATTATTATTTTCTCATTTCACACTCATTTCCTCTTAAATGTTTTAACCATGACTACAAATAACAATTTCAGTGTCATTGGTGTATCTTTTCAAATCTTTGAAATAGTGCATATTGTATACATCCAGTTAATAATCGTGTGCAGAGGGAGGATTTTTGAGTTATATGAACACAGGGTCTTTTGAGTGTCACTGCTTTCAACAAGTGCATGTGGTATGCCCAACCTTAGCTCAATAGACAAATTCATTCGGACCTGAAAGAAATACCTGCACCGACCGGTCCTGAAATCTGTGTTGAGTGAAGGTAATGTGCAGCCTGCTGCCTCTCATGCGCCGAGAATATGATACAGGCATTATATCCTGAGGCATTATATCCTGAGGCATTATATCCTGAGGCATAATTTGCCTGTGAGATACCAACAGCTACCCCTTGGAATAATGCTCTTGTTTTGTAGAATAATGTGTTTTCTTTTGATTTGGATCATGTTATTTCCTTGTTTCATTCATTAACCTGCTATGTTTGACCATTTCAGATCTGTGCTGCACAAAACGGTAAATAGTCCTCTTTTGCATTTTCCTTAACGTTATGATGATTCAAAAGCCCCTTATTTGAAATCTATCACTTAGAATCATTAACCCCTTCAATGTATTAATTTCCATAAACAAAGGTTAAGTCACCTTTTCTGAATCAACCAAGTATGTGTATTTCATTAGCATCTGGGATTTGTTTTACTCACAATATAAAAAAGTCTTTTTAAATGTATCCCATCATAGTTTCCTTCTCTATCTCCCTCAGACATCACTCTGTCCGTGTTTACGGTCACATCTAAGAGTATGACAGTGCAGTGGAGCAGCTACACTGGAGCCAGCTCCTACAAGATCACAGCGACACCAAAAAACACACCTGGACAACCCGTCTTCGCTCACTTCAGTGGCAACGTCGTGACAGGCTCCGTCATCTCCCTGTCACCGAACACAATGTACACCATGCAGCTCGAAGCCATGGACAATGCTCTCAATGTCCTGAGCAGCGCAGACACAGAGGATACCACAGGTCAGTAGCTACTGCAGGGAGAGGTGAAGTAGGACAATGAGTTTAGATTTAGATCTTTACTATCCATAAAGAAAGCCTTAATTAATTTTACATTTCTAAATTAGTGGAAGGAGTCCTGAGTCTTAACTTTCTTAATACATCATACTTTAAGACCCAAAATCATAAATGAATCAAAAGAAAACTAGTTGTTACTTAAATTACCGTACATTGGACATCACCTTTGGAAGCTTTTATGGACATTTCTAGAAGTTTTAATGTCCAAACTATTCATCGACAAGGTAAAAATGGTAAGTTGCAGCTCTAATTTTTAAATATCTTCTTATCTATTGCATATACAATCTAAACTTGTATCCATATCTTTAAAATAAATACGGCTTAATTCTTTTTAAATGTCTTTCTTAAATGTGGTGCAGAAGAAAATAAATGTTTAAGAACTCAGGAATAGTACAAATACTTAAAAATTGTACTTCATAGTAGTTAATGTACTTAAATACATTTCACCACTGCATTTATAATATATGTTTTTATATGTAAGAAAATATGACTAACAACCATTTTATAATGCTGTGTAAACATGTTTACATCTATGATTTGTCCTGCAGCTCCTGAAGTGCCCAGCATCGAGCAGGCCTACTCTAAAAACAGCGACAGCATCACTGTTGAGTTCACAGAGGTCTCCGGGGCAACCAGCTACATCCTGAGGGCGCAGTCTGAGAGTGGTGATTACTTCTCTGAGATGGTGGTGGTCAGCTCACCCGGTACCGTGGTGAAGCTCAAGCCCTACACAGACTACAGGCTGAGTGTCATGTCCGTCAACTCAGGGGGGCGGAGCCAGCCCTCGTACCCCATCGAGGCCAGGACAGGTACGCACAAAAAGCCTTACAATAGTCCCAAAAACACTTCAACTAAGAATTTTAAACAGTGACAGAAGATTGAAAACCTGCTAATGTATCACATATTAAGACTTTCACCATAAGATAGTATCTTTGTGTGAAACTATAACATTTAATAATGATATCTTTCACCTATTTCTACATGTTGTAAGCTTTACCCCTGATGGTAATCGGTGTTCAAAGGTTGAAACCTATCTGTTGTTCCTGTAGGACAATAGTTTGTTTGCTCACTCCGCCGGTCATAACAGCGTGTCATTTCACTTTCTATTGTCACTGTGTCTGCTCTTTGCAGCCAAAGCAGGAGGGTGGAAACTGTATCCATGCTTTTATAATATACTATTATCATAATATGAAAATCAAAACCATGAGAACTGGGTTGTCTCCCTTCCCTGAAGGAGTAATGTAATATTATCAAGGGGGTGTTGTTTCCATTTCACAACAATTGTCAGGGGACTAAAAGGTTTCCGCAATTTTTTTTATCGAACTTCAAGAAAAGCTTTGCAAAATAAAAACAGTGCACTACCATAATGCATAGCGATGCATTGGTTCATAGAGATAAGCAGTAGGTGGCAGTGTAAATAAAAGATTGCCAATGAAATATAAAATGTTGCTTGGTTCGAGTATTAATGTGCTACATCTCTTTTCATTACACCAACTCTTTTACTTAAGCCAAACATAACACTTTTTGCATATTTTCAAGATCCTTTAGAATTGAAACGTTTCCACTTGGATTTTTTATGAACAAATAGAAAATGTGCACGGACAGGAGGATGAAAATTAATTGTGTATTTTCGTCAATGTACATTTTTTCTCATCACTTTCTCCCTCTCCCTGTGTGTAGTGGTAATGGCGCCCCAGCTGAACACCACCTCTCCTAACAACGCTTCCATTGTTGTGACTTGGCCCCCGGTGGAGAACGCTGTCCTCTACATGCTCTGCATCATTCAGGAGGGCTCCAGCTCCCGGGTCAAACTGAACACCACTGACACCACGGTCAACTTTAATGACCTTGCAGCAGGGACCACCTACTGTATCAAGGGCACAGCATGGGACTCTGAGGGTCGAGCTGGAGACGACCTCACTGTCTGCCAGATCACACGTAAGCTTGATAAGAACATACGTAGAGCATGAATGTATCAGATCCTGTTGCTCATGTCCGTCTGGTTTCACTGACAGGTCCTCCCAGCCCAGATGTGACGTTGGTCCAGGTGTCTCCGGGACGGTCGATTGGGATCGCTGTGTACTGGTTGTTAGTGCAGGGAGCTGAAAACTACTTGGTCTGGACTTCTAATGGTCAACACTGTAATTCAACATCTGATAGTTACTGTTCTATCGTACCAGTGGAGTGTGGCCAGAACCACTCTGTCTCTGTCACAGCCTATAACAAAGCTGGTCCCAGCAGCCCCTCGCAACCGGCAGACTACATAACATGTGGGTATATCACACACAACCACATAAAAACGTACTTGTCTAGCACATCAATGCTTTTTGCTGAAAAATGACTCATGTCTGTAGTGTCTTTACGAAGCTACAGTCAGCACCTTAGCCTAAGGGAAATAGCTAGCTTCTGAAACAAAAAGAAAACACATTCTGACTACCAATACCTCTGAAACTCACAGGTTGTCAAAATAAATGATGTACAGGCATACATATTATCATGTTGTTTAATAGTTACAAAAATGGGGCAAGCCCGTAGCAGCTGCCAATGTCCTCTCTCTCTTGCCCCACATAAAAAGGCTTAAAAACTCTTGAAAAAGCATTAGTTACAAAAGTGCTTCCCTGCCTCCAGCCTTTATGCTGGGCCGAGCTAATCTTCTCTATCTTCATATTTATCGTTAAAAAATTATTGCCGTTTTAATCAAACTTTTCCAACAAATTTCCCAAAATGTCAAACTATTCCTTTACCAATTCATGTCCATTCTCTATCTCTTTTTCTGACAGATCCGTGCCCCCCAGAGAACATCTGGGTGGAGGAGCCCGAAGCAGGCAACTGCTCGGTGGTGTGGGATAGTGTACCAATGGTGGAGTACTACATGGCTTTCATAAAGAGGGATGACGGCACTGAGATGTCGTGTAATACCACTGAAACCACCTGCCAGTTTTCCTGCATGTGTGGCTACACCTACCTGACCTCCGTCTTCCCCTACAACAAGGCCGGGTCAAGCCCTTTCGCAGACGTCAGCAACTACACCACCAGTACGACCAGAAGCACCCACATGTAGCACCACCACAAATACATGTTTTTTGTTATCAAGTCGGAGGGCCATACTAATGGATTTATATAATTTAGCTCATTAACTTGACATAGTTATTAGTTTCCATTACAAAAAAAAATCTCCCAAAGAATACGATACACAGAAATGTAACCTGTTGCTACTCAACAGCACCCTTTAAGAAACCCCCAAATCTAGATTATCCATTGTAACACACACCTGATTTGGTTTGGTTTTTTGGATTTTATTTTCTTAGCTCATGAATGCAAGGGTTTTTGGCAGCTGACTCTTAAGTCTCAGATAACGGATCTTCACTGAGTCCTCCGGCATGTTCTGAAAAATCTTCCTTTTTCACAGCAAACATTTTAACACGTTATGATGAAAAGAACAGGTGAAAATATTCGAAATATAGCTAGCACCTTGGGGCGAGCTGATTATCTACTGTAGCCAATCGACTGATGGATAAGTACCTCATACAACAACGCATGAAACCATTTGAACAATCCCTTTAAGCACACTAGCATGGCTTTGACGTTCCTGATATGACAAGTAAATTGCTAGAGAGAATATAAAAGAAGGAATTTCTCTCCACAAGATACATTTGAGAAAAAGCAGTGTGAAGATGATAAACTATAGGTTTCACACAGGGAGAAAAACAATGCCTGAATAGAAGGTGAAAAACATTTGTATAATCATCATAAATCAGGTATATGATACTTTGTATGTTGATTAATGTTCTCATCTCTTTTTGAATTTCTTCTCCCCGTCTCTCCCCAGTTCCTTGTTGCCCACAGGGTGTTACCATACAGCTAGTTTCTACAGAGACCCTGGAGATCAATTGGATGCCGGTCAAAGGGGCCGAGCTGTACCAGACCATGGCGGCACAGACTAATGATGTGATCCACTGTAACGACACAGCTCCAGTGTGTGCGCTGTCAGATTTGAAGTGCGACACAGCTTATTCTGTGACCGTCACACCTTGCAGCGAGTTACGAGGATGCAACCACACCTGCACACCACACACACAAAAAACAGGTATTAAAGGGGCTATTAAGAGTGGCATCCCACTTCCTAAAATACACATGCTCACATGAGAGGGAACCCAGGGAAGTCTTTGAAATGGGCTAAACAAACCTCAAATATAAACTAATGCATAACACAGTGGTGCTAGTTTGAAATTTGGGGAAGATGTACTTTTTGCTTTCTTGTCATAACTATATGAGAAGATTGATTCTACTTTAATTTCTTTCAAGCCATTATTCTTTTTTCTTAAAGGTACATCAGTACAAAAAACGTAAATCGCCCTTTATTAAATGGTGTACCTAAAGTTGAGGAAGATTCAGGTACATCTTATACCCAGAAGAAGTATAATTGATTCCTTAAATGTTGTATCTAGCTCTCCTGATACACCCATAGTGGTATCAATCATCTCATATGACTCTTTGGAATTAAGTGTTATCATATTCCCCAAAATGTCAATGTTTCTTAAAAAAAATATCTCACTCACGCTAGATTATCTCTTCTTTTTTTAATATGAAAACAGCTCCGTGTGCTCCAGAGATCCTGAATATGACTCAGAGCAACAACTCAACATACAGAATCCACATCACAATGCCTAACACCCCAAACACAAATTACACCATTAAAGCCACCGGACGCTTTGCCACACACACCTGCCAGACAACAAACTCGTCCTGTGAGCTCACACAGCTGCCCTGTGGTTCGTCATATGACGTCATTGCAGTGGCCATCACAACTGTGGGGAGAAGTCTTCCCGGATTCAGTAAAACCTTGGAAACAGGTAGGATTTGTTATAATATTGTAGTAGCCTAACCATTTAAAAAATGTTTGACGATTTAAGTTATCATAAAAAAGAAAGAAAACAAATCCACAAAGGCAAAATATATTAAAACATTTAATTGGCAGCTCAGAATTTAGAGTTAAATTCTGATCTTGCTGGTAATCATAAGCTAGGCTAAAATAGGCTTCTTATAATAATAATAATAATAATAATAATAATAATAATAAGAGATCAAAAAGGTATTGTTGGCTAGTCGCTAGTTTGTGTAACAGACCTAAAAATAAATACAAAAATAAATGTAATTAATTATATTAAGTTACAGTCACTAATAAATAATGTAACAGTATCTTCACTCCGGTTTTGATTATTGCTATATGATTTACTCCCCAAGGTCCTTGCTGCCCCACATATGTAAATGTGACCCAGGTGACCCAGGCTATGACAAACGTGACCTGGTCACCGGGCAGCGGCGCTCGCTCCTACGTCACCTCCCTGACGTCCCCACGAGGACACGCCAAGTGCCACACTCTGGACACCCACTGCTTGATGGGATGCATCACCTGTGGCACCGACTACAGTGTTCACTTGGAAGCCATCAGCAGCACAGGACACAAGTCAGAGTGCAAATATTATGGATTCTCATCAGGTAAGGGCAAATACACACATGTACACACACACAAGTTTAAAGGGGACCTATCATGCAAAATGCACTTTTTAATGTATTTTATACATAAATATGTATCCCCGGTGTGTCAGGGAACTCACAAAGAGTCAGAAAACAAAACCCTCTCTCTTTTCCTTCGTACCCAAATCTCTAAAAACAGGGGTACAACGGAGCTGATCCAGATTTGCGTCGTGGACCCACGGCACTAGCAGAAAGTTGCTATCAGAAACAATGCCTGACGTGTTTTGGACGTAATATTAGGGCTGCTCGATTATGGCAAAAATCATAATCTCGATTATTTGGATCAATAATTGATATCACGATTATTAAAAACGATTATCCATTTACTTTTAAAACATCAATTTATTTGAGACATTTTTTTTAACAGTTGATTACTCTGAACTTTAAGTATAATTCAACTGAAAAACCAATAAAATAAAAAAAATAAAAAAGTAATAATAATAATACAAAAATAATCGTTTTATTTTGGTTACATTGTTTTTGTAATCGTTGCAAGGCATAATCGTAATTGCGATTAAAATACGATTAATTGAGCAGCCCTACGTAATATGGACTTTGTTTACATTAGCAAGCATCGCTAACACTCAGAGTTACCGCTGTACTGGAGAGCATGTGTAGAGAAGCAAGAAATGAAAAAAGGAACTCACCTTGTGGTAAACCCACAAGAGAAAAAGCATTTGAGCTCCATACCGTTTCAGAAATAATCCTTGATGTGGTTTGGAACATGATGGCGTTTAATCACGGCAGAATTTACCGGTATCTGCCGGTATCTGATCAGGCTCCCCCTCCTCTTTTTCTTTTTTTTCAAGCTAAGGACCCAAAATCAGCAGTTCTCTAACAGGGCTGAAACCGAGGGATACGAGGGATGTCTAAAAAGCATGATCTGTTTGGTATTTTGAGCAAAACACATCATAGATAGGTTTTTATATATTTGTATACATCCGAGACCCATAATATATGCCTAAAACTAGCATAATAGGAGACCTTTAAATACTTGTTGGTAGCAATGTAGTCAACAGTACAAAACCAGTATGTGTTTGACATGAACAACTTCATTCCTCATAACTCAATCGTGCAGGTGCCTGTTGTCCGACAAGTATGAAGCTCTATCGCATGCGAAGCTACTCCCTGCGGGTGTCCTGGCGCTCTCTGGGTCCTCAGACTCACAACCACACAGTAGACCTTTACGGGACGGGAGCCAACTACACCTGCACCGCGGCTGCCGGCAGCAAACACTGCGATATCGAGGAGAGAACGTGTGGGGACGTCTACAAAGTAGTGGCAGCACCAGTGGGACAGGACGGGATCAAAGTCAGCTTCTGTCAACCGAGGACATACTCCAGTGAGTCATGAAGTGCATGCAGCATGTACAAGGTGTATAAATCACCTATTTATTCGTATCATTTGTTACAAGTTTCATTAATGCGTTAATGTTTATTGTATTCTCAGTTCCCTGCCCAGGAAATAATGCTGGCATGCGTAAGTATCCTATAAACTTCACTTTTAGTTTGCAGAAATGAAAGGAATAGATTAACATTCTGTTATCTGCATCTTGATAAGAGTTAGATAAGATATGAGAGTTGCATTGACATTATGATCTAGAAAGGTGGGGGGGAGGGTGGGAATATTCTCATTCATCAAAATGTCAATCTATCAATTTCACCTTTGATTAATTTGCCTGAAAACTGCTAATGCACTGAAACTGTATCTCTCTCCTTCTAAAGTGATTTCTCGCGGAAAACGAAGTGTGGATTAATTGCGGTAAGTGTACGGTTACTGATCTCCCTCCGGGTAAGAACAATATGTCTTCAGACGTTTGGAGTTATGTATCGACATGAGACAAACAACTTGCTTTCCCCTACATGTGAGGTGTTTTTCTAGATTGTAAAAATGTGTGAAAGAATTTGATTGAAAGCTGCTTTCACAGAACGCACCCATGGTGCTACTTTACAGTTTCAGGGTGTCCAGTGACAGCATCTCGAGCATCTTTAAATTGACTGTGCCTATAGTGTGCTGGTATAACATTAGGCGTGTTTAAGTAGAAGATATAGCATATATACAAGCACAGGTGAGGCTGATCTCTATCCGTCTTTTCCTTCTGGGACTTTTGGGATTTATGCGAGTCCATAAAACATGGGATGAATGACCAAGGTAAATGAAGATGGAGAAATGCTGCAGGAGCGTCACACGAGCATCATATTGTGATAATAGATAAGATCAGGGATATTTGATAACCCCTGACTCAGTATGACTAAGCTGTATTCTACTTTTAGCATTTAACGTTTCACAAAGAATGTTTTTTTTTTGCACAAAACATCCACTTATCGAGTGTGATGAATAAGCACGGAAGCTATGATGAAATATATTAGCAGTTAGGCCTCGATGATGGAGTATATTAAATATTTCAATATTTTTGTATCAAAAACCTTGATTTTGATATTGCAAAGATATTGTAAGGTTGAATTTTGGTGCTTTCATTAAAAATGTTCAGGCATGTGGATATAATGACTTAGAAAACAAATAATAAATATTAGAAATGACAGTAATTTACTGAAATGCATGTCACGATTCTTGTGTTATGTCACGTTTTTAGTTTTGTATGTCTTGTATTGGGTTTATTTTGCTGTTCTGTTCTCCCTGTTTCATGTTTTCCTCCTTGTATATTGTCTGGTCCTTCTCCCTGTGTTTTTCCTCCCTGTCGTTAGTTTCCCTGGTGTGTCTAATTGTCTGATTGTGTTCACCTGTTGCCCTTGTGTTTCTCGTCTCCTGCCCGGCTGTTTCTCATCTCGTGATTACCCCTCCCTGTATTTAGTCTTGTCTCTTCCTGTGTTCAGTGTTGGTTCGTCTTTTGTTGGTGACTGAGTTCACCGGGGAGTGTTCTGTTTGTCCGAGTTTGATTCTTATCCTTGAAATAAAGGTATTATCAGTATTATCTGCATTTGGGTCCTGCTTGCTTCACTCAACCTTAACAATGCAGCCTTTAAAACCAGGAAAAGACAACACATATTACACTTTAATGATATCCAAAATATCTAGGATATCTAGTTCTTTATCTAGATCTATATAATATTGATTTATTGCACAGCCCTATAGGCAATAACCACCTTTTCCACCAAGTCCAGGTTGATCAGTTCTCTCTCTCTCTTATCTTTCTAGCCCTTCGGTGAACACCCCCCACCCCATTACCGTCAATACTCAGCACAGACAGAAGACTGTATACACCAACAACAACTGTTGAGACCCAATCCACCCGATGGAATTTCACTCTTGTAAAAGAATATCCTGATTTTTTGTTACTGCTGTTTGGAAAAAATGCCTTATAGAGAACGTTAAACTGTTGAAAACAATAAAATATATGAAAGATGGGTTTAAAATAGATAACTTTGGAAGTGTATCCAATGATTCTGAAAAATATTCTCCATATTGTTACTTTTTAATAATAGCCATGATTTTTATTTTCATGTTTTAATCAATGCAGTAGCCCTGTCATAATGAATCTTGATGTAACCTTAACAGTAAATGTTAAAAAAAATATTTTAATAGAAGCTTAACAGTGAACCTCCCACGAAAATGTAACACGACAAAAGTCATTCAAACACTAAATACATTTGGAACAAAAACCTAGGACTTCTCCAAGTAGAGGGCCTCCACACGGCGCCGTACGACATGTCTGTGGGCTTTGGAGCAGGAGAGGGTCAGTTGAAAGTGGGGCAGCAGGTATCCATCTCGATAGCCCGGAGTCATGCATGCCATGTGGAAGATACGTCTGATCCGATTGCTGGAGATGGATTCAGTGTTACTTCTGTTATCATTGGATTTGTTTTCTCTCCGTTGACAGACGAAAATAATAAAATGTTACCATTACAACACTGTGTGCTGTCAATCATCTTGTGTCCGTTTTCTTTATGAAGTCAAATATGTTTTGTTCAGGTGCGGGGGGGTTGGATACAGGAGCTATATTCAGCCCCTTAAGATAATCAAGAAACTTCCTGAAGTAGGTCTTAATCACTGTTCGAAATGGGGGGGAGCCAGGGGGAGCTTGGCTCCCCCGAAGAGGGAGGGAGCTCCCCTGAAGGCCGACTTTGAGATAAATAGGGGGAGCCCAAAATAATCGTGCATATTTGTGTCACACAGATTAGAAATGTTGAGTTTCTGTAAATAAAAGTTCTTGAAATAAATAATAGTCATTGTTCATTACAGTTTCTGAATATTTGTTTTGTATTTGTGAATATTTCTGGGTGTTGCCATCTGTACGTGGCGTGGCGGCGCTGCATTCTTTACGCTACTAGGCAATAAAGGCGCGGTATTTGATATTTTCATACTGATATTTTTTTAACTCTGGCTTTGTAATAACAAATATGGCGAAACGAAAACAGCCAAGCCTCGCAGCTTTTTGATTCACAAGCGAAGGAGTCTAAAAATGACAACGTGAACGGAACAACTTTTAGTTGGCCGGCTGTAAGCGGCGTTAGGGTCGAGTTTGACAGCTCCACACAGAGGGAGAGGCCTACCGATGCGGAGCGTGAAGAGGCTTCAACAACGGCGCCACCTGCGCTAGCGAACCTTTCCTGACGATGCCCATGACCTGCCTTTTAAATGGACACAGAAAATATGGAGTGAGTGGAATGAAAGGTATCCATGGCTTTTCAAAAAAAAAAAAAAATGTGGATGTGAGATTTGCAAAGAGGCAAAAAGTATATTGATCTCCCTGCCGCTCGCAAAAACATCCACCTGAGTGCACCTTTCACAAGAATGGATTCAGGGAAAAGTCAGCAGTGATCAACAGAATAACCTGCGGAAAAAGATTTATAAACAATAAGAGGCAGGCACACGAAAAAGTGATCGAGGATGAGAAAAAAGATGTCCTACCAAACAAGGCATACCCTATTGGCAATCAATATTGATCTAATACAGGAAACATATACATCTTTCAGGTCTGCCTATATGATTGCCAAAAAAATAAATAAATAGGGCTCCCCCAAAAGCAAATGGGTAATTCGAACACTGGTCTTAATCATTCAGGGGAAATGTTATGGAAGACCGGATGGACTCACTTTCACTGGAAAGTTGTGTGACTGAACCGTCTCTGACTGAACTTATTGCACAAGCATTGCAAGGTTGGATAACGATGATGATGATGATGATGATGATGATGATGATGATGATGATGATGATGATGATGATGATGATGATGATGATGATGATGATGATAACTCTATAAGTAAAAGACTAAATGTCAATACGCTGCATATTATTGACTTCTTTAAAACACCAATGAATGATTTGTTTGCACGTTAACTCTCAGGCTTTGAAGTTGAGTTATATCATATTCAAATAAACATTGACTCAATATGTCTGGCACTTCTTTCATAACAGATCTGCTTTTATGAGGCCTACTCATAGAGGGTAGAGTATAATTTATACCTTTTGGGGTAAAAACGTGCATCAAATTTTAATTATTTCTTGTGCAGAAAAGTTATGTTTGCCATTTAACCAATGTAAAGTGGTTTCTTGTGAGTTATGTAACCATTACATTGATAGAAAGAAAAATCAGTGTACTACAATTATTTTATCACTGTTGTCAAATAAAACATGTATACGCATAAGCATATACATTACCCAGAGACAGTATGGACAAATCACAGTGGGAAAATTGACAGATGGTTAGTTTATTCTAAACATTGTTGAAATCATATTTAACATATCACTATTTTACAATTCATAATCAATAAAAAAACTACTGATATCTTATTGTAGTAGCAGATTTAACCCTTGTCATATGAAATGTGTAATAGAAACTCCAATGTTTGAATATTTCCGTGACTTGTCTGGTAACGATGAATGTCTATTTATGTCTTGATCAAAGCGGGGGACTTAATAATAAACCAAATGTCTGTGCCATTATCACGAATAAGAGAAAACCATCTGAGGTCCGTTATGTGTTTTGTACTCTTTAGTTCAACAGTTAAAGAGCATCTTGCATGTTGTTGTTTTTTCTACATTTATGCTTAAACTTGCTTGAAAATTACAATTAAAAAAGTGAATGTAGGATTTGATATGTTTTACGAGACATAAGGGCAGGAATTCAGAGGGAAAGGAGCAATTTTGAGCTCTGCTCTTAAAAACGGCTTTTTTTTAAGGTCATACGTCAAACACGTCATATTACATCACAAAGGGGAAACATCTCCGCTCTCTGACCGCGGGTATAGTTAGTAGTTGCGTTGAGTTGAGTGTTTTAGTGAGCTGGTATTTTTCGGTAGTTTTACATTGTATTTCACCATTTGTAATCATGGTGCAGTATTGTGTTTGTGCAGGTTGCAGAAATACCAGCCTGTCAGGACATCGAGTCCACAGTCACGGGAAAAGGACCGGAGCTAGCGTTCGTTCGTTCCTGGGTGCGTTGTGCATCCACCTCCCTGCAGCACATACTCTCCACAGCTTTATCAGGAAACCGTATTACATCTCTCTCCCCCCCTTCGCTGCTCTCTCTCTCTCTCCCTCCGGTACACAGCACCGTAAGACATAGTGTGGAGTTGCATTAGGTAACGCTGTGGTTGCTGTACTGCTCCAGCCGTCTCCTTTGTGTTTGTTTGTTTCCCCCTGTCTGTGTTGTTTGTGTGTGCGTGGTGGCTGTCACTCCTGGCTCCCGGCTCAACCTCCACTCACCTGCTGCAATCAGCTGTGCACCCTCCCCGACTATTTATACATATTTATTGAAAAGTAAAACGTCAGAAATTAAATTAAGATCATTTACATTATCCCAAGCTGTTAGAGTATTTGAGTCAGACATCATTCACATATTTTATATCAGAGGAGAGAGAGAACCAGCAAAATCCAAATGCAAATTATGGACAAAATAAAATGAAATAGCTTCTATGGTTTTTACTTATTTTTGTCTTAATGTATGCTAATACTAATAAAATACAATCGAATTCCAGCTCTTTTGAATTTAGCTAATTGTGCTATTAATCCTGTTTTACAGCAAAGACTGTCAATCAGGATTATGGGGAAGTTGTTTTACGAACATATATTTGAAACAAAGTCATTTCACAGTGATGATGAACTGTCATGAAAGTCTCTGGTTCCACTATTCTTGGAGTGAGAAATATAAGTGTTATATTACAAGTATACGAGAAGTGAGGTTTTCACATAATTCCACACAATGGGTGAAACTGGAGCTTCATTTGTGATCCATCTAAAGATGATGACATGATATGAAACGTGCTGAAGGTTTCACTAACATGTGTCCCAGAAATCGATCTTATGTTAAGACTTTATAATCCTTATTGGAATCTTTGAATCTCAACAAAACAAACCTAGTTATGTACCAATGTTTCATTTTGAATTCATTCCAAAAACAATAAACCAAGTTATTAACACAATAATAACTACATATTTGTTAACTTGGCAACCAGTCCAAAAAAGTAGGTTCTTGTAAAAAAAAAATGGGCAACATTAAACATTTCCGAGAAGAAATACATAAATCCCGGATTTAGAAAGGGGGACTATGACTCCTATGCCATACAAAGGGGGTCGTATTACTTCCTGTTCTTTACACTAAAAACACAGCGAAATTTGTTTGGATATTTAGAGAAAAATCACTTGTCATGTTTGGTGCTTATTTTCACCTTCTAAGCGATGTTGGTCAGACAAAGTAAGATATTCCAGGAAGATGGAGGAAGTGTAGGTTGAGCATAGTAGGGGGTGGGCGGTTTCAAAGAATCCTAATCTACAGTACACCGAACATTGTTTCCTTCTCATGATGACAGGGGGCCTAAAGGCATTCACCTGTCCTCATTTAGGCTGTCCTGATTGGTTCCCATAAAGTTGATCTCCGACTCTCAGCCGTTAAATATTGCAGATGAGCTGCAGTGTGAAGAACCCACATATGGATGTACAGTAACGCACTGAAACTCTGCTAAATCACAATGGATATGATGTGGATGTTTTATTCAGTCATCCTTTTGTCTGTCATACAGGTAATTATGCTTTTCATTGTATCTAAATAAGTTTCTGATTTGCTTTAATTTCATCCTTGTTTTTTCATATTTTAATGTCCAATGTTTTTATTTTCCTTAGACACAACATGTTTTGGCTACAGGTGAGTGTTCTGTTTTACTGATAGTATTGATGTGAGCAGAGGCCCTGACAGATTACATTTTTGTTGTTCATCACCGAGATGGCACGATATTGATAAGAATGTTCCTATTCAATAGCTTTATCATTTAAATATCAACACAGTGAACCTTCATATAGTCATCTATTCTTCTGTTATATTGAATAATGTATAACTTATTCTAACTGGAGCTTTGATCAAAACCATCTTAGAAATTAATCAAACATATTTAATTCACCCAAATCCTCATTTCATTCATTTTTATTTGTTCCGTGCATGGTATGCACAACTTAATGTATAACAATTGTTTACAAAACATGTCTCTATAAACACACCATACCCGAAAAGGAGCAGGGAGAAAAAAAAATGTTTTATATTACCTGCCCCTTTCGCAAAATATATATAATAAATATATACAAACCCTATTGTAAAAAATTGAAGATATTCACTAAACTGATCAATTAAAGACAATATAATGTGATTAAGTGTTTCACGTCCAACATACAAACACTGCTGCTAACTGAACAGCTTGAGGTGGATTGTATGGACAAAGGATTTGATTAATTGAAAATAAAAGCAGCTGCTGCTCACCACTAGAGGGCCACTGCTTTGTAAAAGACATCCCGTTTACCACTCACTCCTACCGTAAATGTGTTCATTAGTGCCACAACTTCTTAAACATGTTTCTTAAGGGTAAGGGTAAGGAAAAAGATCTGTGCCTGAATTCTGAGCAAGCAGTGGGACGTTTTTAGCACAGAAAATATTTATCACAACCAAATATATTATATAGGTTATTCACAAAATTATATAATTCGCTCACAATAGTCCATGGTTTGATATTCCTACAAATACAAAAAACAACACTATAGTTAAATAAAGTAAAATTCACGGATTCAATTAACTTTATTTTACCCTTTCATCTCAAAAGGCAATGAAAATGATATTCCTAGACAGATATTATTCCTTTTCTTTCTTTGTTCAGGATGTAGGATAGAGTCAGTGACTTCTCCTTCAGCTTCAACACTGAATGTGATATGGAGCAGCTACAGTGGAGCTACGGTATATTGTCTGGACCTGAGGGTTGTGAACTCCACCAGCATCGCCCCAGTGGTGGTGATGCAGGATGCACCCAGCACAAAGAGGCTGATTCAGGGTTTGAAACCCGGACATGACTATATAGTCACACTGAAGGTCTTCCAATACACCAATGTGGTGTGCACACACTTTGAAACCACTAAGACAGGTAAAGAAAACACTTTAAAAAGTTACCATATAAATGAAACTGAAAAGCAACTTTGTTAAATAATGTTGATGTCTTTATCTTTCATTCCCACAGTGCCTGCCACTTCTCAGATCACCCTTTCACAAGCTGTTTCCAGTACATCTATAAAGTTCCAGTGGTCTAGCATGGTTGGGGCAGACAGCTACATCTTGTTTGTGAAAGAGTTGTTTATTAATCCCCCAAAACAATACAACGAGACCTTCACAGGCCTTGTTGGACAAATGGACAGCCTAACTCCTTCTACAACGTACAACTGTTACGTCTACTCATTAAACAGCGCCGGAAGAGGGGCCAAAAGTCATACCAGGACAATCACAACGTGTAAGTGCAAATGAAATGCTAGTTTTTTTGTTTTTCAGAGGGTTTCATTTTTGTAATGCGGATCAGAATCAAGGTTCCTTCAAAAAAAAAAGTCTAAACAGCGTGTTATGTTTGAGCAAATCCTTTACAGTTGGGATGTATAAAAACATGACTGAGGATAAAAAAATGAATAAGATTAAACTTGTATTTTCTCCTGGTAGTGGTACAGCCACCAACAGGAGTGTCCATAAATACGACGGGGAAGAGCACAGCTCGAGTGACGTGGAACACTGTTAGTAGAGTCTTGCTTTATCAAGTGGCCGTGAGTGACAACGACAAGCCCAACGATCAGCCAGTCATCAGAAACACCACAACAACCACCATGGACATCAGTGATCTGGAGCCCTGTTCCAGATACACAGTGGGAGTATCATCACTCAACGGCTTCTTGGTTCCTGGGGAGCCCTCTGCTGTTACATACAACACCTCTAGTGAGTATCTTAGCAGCAGAATGGATGCACTTGCCCTTTTTGTTTTGTGTTGACCGACTACAACCTTACTTAAGTATAAAGGGGTAATTCCCAACTTCCTCTGATGTTATTCAATCCCATTCATCTCAACTCAAGTTAGTATTAAATGCAGACAAATCCAAACTCAGGATATTCTCAAATGGCAAAAAGTGAACTTCAATTCTCCCTAAGAGTTGTACTGTTCAAGGAACTGACATTGAAAGAGTCACAAATATCTAAGTTGTATTATTGATCAGAACTTATCTTTCAAGTCACACACTGAATGTTGTTTCAAAGCTAAAAATAAAATAAAGTTTATTTTACAGAAACAAATCCTGTTTCTCCTTTCCGACAAAGAAACATTTGATCATTTGATTTACCGGTTTTGGATGATGCTGATCTGCTTTATATGAATGCCTCTGACTAGTGCCTAAAGAGTTTGGATACTGTGTACCATTGTGCATTACATTTTGTTACTGGATATGGATATCGTGTACACCACTGCACTTTGTATGCTGCTGCTAATTGGCCATCTTTGTCTGCACGCAGACTTTCCCATTGGTCGGGTTGTATATATAAATCTCTGTTGGGCTGGTTCTCTCCAGTCTATATGCCCTCCCAAGAATTTATTCAGATGCTGGTTCCTAAATTGAGAACAGAACTGTGTAAAAAAGCTTTTAAATATGCTGCCCCTTATGCATGGAATAATATACAGAAGGAGCTGAAACTGTCAGATTGTATCACTATGGGGGAATTCAAGTCCATCTTAAAGGACAGAGAACAAGAATCTATTGGTCGATGTGATTGCTCGTATATCCTATAATTGAAGTCGTTTAAAATTGTGCCAGTTTTTACTGATTTGTAATAGTTTCTTTTATTTGCATATTGACTGGTTAATGTGCCATTTAATTTGTGTTTTACGACCGCTGTATTCGTCTGCCTGTGTTGTCTGTGTTTTATTTGTTGTAACTGTGTGCAAAAAAAGATTTTAATCTCAATGAGTCTTTACCTGGTTAAATAAAGGATATATAATATAATTCTTCCCTTTCCAAAATCTGAGCTTGCCCATTAATGAAGATAACAAATCTGAAATTTACCAGATTATAAGTATTTTCTAAATGTCATATGTTATATGGACTATACAAGAACAAATAATAATTGTGTTGACTAAAAAGTAACCTTGTGACCTTAATTAACCCAGTTCGACCTCTTATGAAGGAACACAAAACAAGATATACGTTTTTGGTCTAGTGAATCTTAAAACCAGCATTACATTTCACGCAGGCAGAATCGTTCCTATAAAACAATGTTCTGAAACATATTCTGAAAATCTGTTCACACATTTTTCCTCAGCTATTAACCCGGTGACGACAGTCTCAGCTGAGTACAGCTGCACGAGCGGCTTGGTGACAGTAACTTGGGATTTGGTATTCGGGGCCAACTTGTACAGGGCAACGGCCACTGATGGCACTGGTGCGACCCTTAACTGCACATCGGCCTCCACAAGCTGCCACATCACCATGCTCAAATGTGGTGAGGAGTACCAGGTCCATGTAACAGCCATCTCAGACGACTGTGAGAGCATCTCCAACGTCCATTCCCTGTTCGAGACAGGTAAGCCTGCTCTTGTGTAAACTACAAAAGATGGCTTATATTTGTCTTTCCTTGTGAATGTATGTATTGTCCCCCCCCTTTCATTGTGCCTCATCACATGTCTGTATATGTTTCCTACATATCCACACCTTCTCATTCTACCTCTCAGTGTCACACACACTCACAGTTCAGGACACATTCAAAGCTCTTTATCACAACATGTCCCCATAACTTCATCCTCTAGGGAAGCTGATTAGGTTCCTCCCATTGTCTCCTTTAGGATTTTCTCAAGCTGAGGGGTGAAACACACACTCTCTTTTGCCACCAAGACCAGCTATCCAACACCAGTCGGTCAAGTGTCTTTAGACTCTATTAATTCAAGGACTTATCTCAAAGGTCAGCTCTCACGTCAGTCTGAGTGAAAAGGTAAAGGAGACAAACCATATACAGTCCGCCTAGGGAAATATCTACCCGCACACACAGCAAAAATTGCCTGTTTACTCCAATGAAGTGTTGAATGCTGCAAAGAGGGAAATTACAATAGGAGTAAAACATCTGTATCTATTTGACGACCTTTGAACAATAGGAGGTGAATTGTGGCCTGTGAATCTGCTGTGAAATCTTCCTTTTTAAAACAATACAGTGCGTCACAAAATACTGATCTATATAAACTCCACTCAATTCTGCACAACTGGACTTCTTTTATGGCATCCAGGCAGATTTTGAAAATGTTTAAACCGTTTTATTCCCTGTTCTTATAACTGTTCTTTGTCAAAATGTTTTCCCAGTCTCCTGTGCTCCTGCTAATCCCGAGACAAGTCACGATTGTTCGAGCAATGTGATCATCTTTAGCTGGCAGCCCACCAACAACACCCGCTACTATGTGGCAACGGCTGTGGACAAAAGTGGCAAAATAACTGAATGCAGGACGGCAGACAGCAAGTGTTTATTCACTAATACTGGCTGTGGTCAGTTTTACAAGTACACTGTTTATGCCGTCAGCGGTGTATGCAAAAGCGAAGCCAGCAATCCTGAATTTGTCCGGACCTGTGAGTATGATTTCATTTTGTTAATATAAATATATCATGAATCCAAAATACATACTACAGCACAACTTGTTCTCAATGCTCGTCTGGTTTTAGGACTGAACTGTTTTTATATAAACGCATATGATTGTGTATTTTGACACACATTGCGATTTGATTCTTACGGAAGAGGATTAGGGCCACATGATAATTCTTTTTGGAGTTCAGAGATTAAAGTCAAAATTCTGAGATTAAAGTCAGAAGTACAGTAACTGTAGTGAACCAACTTCAGTGAGAGACTCACTTCACATTATCCAGTAGTGAAACCGTGTGGCTGTTAGCTTCCTGTCCTCTCTGTTAGCAGCTCTGTGCTACAGGCGGCTCAACCGAATTAGCTTATTGGGTGGACATAACTTGACCATGGCCGTATTTGCTGTCTTTTGGATATTTAATGCAAATATCAGACTTGTTTCATTGCTTGCTCTGCGGACCGTCCATGCATGTGGTTTCTTCGATAAGTAAATTCTAGTTCTCTATTTATATTTTATTGGTGTTTTATTCAAATAGATTTGGCATTTTAATGTATTTAAGCGAGGATTCTTTAACATATAGTGAGAATTGCTAACATTTGTCTCTACATATTGTGTGATTATTGCAGTGACACAACCAAAGTGTCAGGGTTGAGTGAAGCAGGCAGGACCCAAACGCAGATTTAAACAGAAAATACCTTTATTTCAAGGCTAACGAAACAACAGAACTCTTCCCAGTGAACACAGTCAAGACAAACAACAATCCAACAATGACAGACAGAAAAACCAGAACTTAAATGCACTCAAGACTAATCACACAAACAAGACACAGGTGAGAAGGGAGCAGAAAACACAAGGGCACCAGGTGAACACAATCGGGTAATCATGTAGGAGGGAAAACAGACAGAAAGCGACAGGCAAGACAGGGGGTGAAGACTTTTCAAAATTAAACCAAAGACAGAAAAAGACAAGACAAAACACAACACAGACAGATCATGACATTGACAGTTTAACTTTACTAACTTAACGTGAGGTAGAGATACTAACAAAACAATACAATCAATGCCGGTAAATATATAAATAAAACCACAAGCGGTAACACTGATTTGCACAGTTAAAACACGCGGACTCGGCGGTCCGTCACAACAGAAGCATGTAATGCAAACAAAAGATCAACATGAAGTTGATAACACACACTAATAACCTATATCTGCCAAGACACGAAACCTCACACATGGAACCGTTCTTGGTAATGATTATAGTCGTGTGTAAAGTCCGTTCACTATGCGGCGGAGATTTATTTCACTTGGCTCGGGCACTGACGGAGCCGTTGTCTCACGTCCGTCCGAGAAATAAACACAGCGGCTGGTCCTCATTTCGTTTTTTGAATTGAAGGTTGGTTGATGACGTCAGTATTCATTATTTCTACAGTGAGTTATTATTTGGGATGTCTTAGATACAGTGCACACAGATTGTTAGCAGTATGGGGGGTGCGGCTTGTGCCAGGAGGGTTTGTTTTGGAGAGCAGATTTAAGGCTCCTGTGGAGCACTCAGAATTTAAAAGCAAATAATGTTTGTATGGAACACATTCAGATTCCCTTAGCAGAACAGGGCAGCACTGCAATGATTTACTGGAGATAAAAACACACAGCTTCCAGGACCTCCAGGAACACAGCACTGCCAAAATATGCCAATTATTTAAACATTACACTCAGTAAAATTGGAAGATCTTAGTATGTCAATGCTGCTCTATGAGTAGAATTGATCTTTGTCCTAATACTCGGCTTTCTTTTTAATCACAGTGTTTTGGAATTCAACAATTGTAATGCGTCGCTCTGTGGATTTCAATTTAAAAAAAACATAGTCCATTGTGTACATCTTTTTGTTTCTGTTTTATCACCTGAAGGGTAGCTGTCTCTTTCATTCTCTGTTCTTTGTCTTTGCTCAACAAGTGATGCTTTCTCGGGAGATGGACCGACCACTCTGCTTTAAAATAAATAAATAAAAAAGTAAGGTGAGTGTTGAGAGCAGGCACACACACACACACACACACACACACACACACACACACACACACACACACACACACACACACACACACACACACACACACACACACACACACACACACACACACACACACACACACACACACACACCATGTATACATCACTTCAGGGGACATTACATTGACTTACATGCATTTCCTGGAGACTTATCCTAACCTTAACCATAACCAACACATGCCTAACCCTAAACCTTACCCTTAAACTTACCCTAAACCTAACCAAGTCTTCACCCTAAAATGAATGATTCCCCTTATGGGGACCTCCATTTT